CGACATTGCTCTCCATCATTTCCGGATGTTTTCCAGGGTTACTGTGGCTTCATTGGCTAAGTGTACCGAAAGGTGGATGAAGCTCCTATTTTATAAAAGAGGTGAACGGACTAGCACCTGAACAGGCCACATCTTTCAAGCTGGCGATCACCTAGAACAGTGTTTCTCAACCTTAGCAACTCTAAGATGGGTGGACTTCAACTCATTTGATGCTGGCTGGGGAATTCTGGGAGTTGAAGTTCACGCATCTTAAAGCTGCCAAGGTTGAGAAGCATTGCACTAGACCAAACTGGCTCTCACATTTCTTTGTGTATTTATTATTATGTTTTTTATTATTATTATTATTATTATTATTATTATTATTATTATTATTTTGCCTAAGGGAGGCCTAGAACTCACCATCTCCTGCTTTCTAGCCCCAGTCCCTTCACCACTAGACCAAACTGGCTCTCTGGATCCTCCGTGATCCTATTTCAACAGCAGTAGAGGATGCTTAATCTGATTCCTGCCCGGTGCCCAACAGAAAGACCAGGGAGTTCCTTCAATGAGAGGAACATCTCCATTTAGCCTCCATCCTGCAAATGCTCGGTCCCTCCGAGCATCAGGACGATGAGTCTGTGGTAGCAGGGAGTGACCAGCCATGCTCGGTGAAAGGTCAGCGTGATTTCAGCCTTGCTTGACCCCTACGGCTTCCAATTATCTGTCCACTGTATTATCCATTTTAAAATAAAAGGGTTTGCAAGCAGGATGATTCAATCCTTTGCTGGAACGCCTGTACGTCAGTCCTGCGTGGTAGCTGGGACAGACCCAGATTGGAATTCAAGCTCTGACCAAGGATCCCATTTCTTGGAAATCCTGCCAAAGCTTGGGAATGTATAACATGTATTCTGAAAGATTAGCAGTGGGTACAGCCCAGAGAGTCACCATCAGCTCACGATCACTTTTAGTATGCTAGATTTACAGTGTTTCTCAACCTTGATCACTTGAAGATGAGTGGACTTCAATTCCCAGAATTCCTTGATGGATGGGGAATTCTGGGAGTTGAAGTCCACTCATCTTCAAGTGGCTAAGGTTGAGAAACGCTGTGCTAGAAGAGCAGAGGAGATCTTACCAGCCACGGCTGATCTCAGAGCTCCTAAGAAAGAAGTGATCTTAAATCTCAGATTACTTACTGGATTTTCTTGGTGAAATTCTTGGAAACGATTCCTCCTTCTGCTTGTTGTTCTTCGTGTTTACCTGCCCAAAAATAAAATAAAGAGGGAATGTCATTAATCCTACCAAGAAACAGATGCCCCCCACCCTGCCTAACCCACTTGGCTTGCTCAGGGCTTTATTTGGAATTTCTTAGTGGGGTATGGAGGTCACATCCAACAGGCAACTTTTCCTGACTTTTGATTCCCAGCTGTTGCTAGACTATGACTCCCATTGTTCACTGCAAGTGATGGGAGATGTAGTCTGTGAGTCTGACGGCAAGGGTGCTTTGATTTTTTAAAATGTTGGAAGGAAGAAGGGGGCAAAAATGCTTCAAATCCCCAAATACTAGCAAAGAGATTCATCTCTTCTCAAAGGGTTGGTTGTTCTGACTTTTTTCCACATCTAGGAAACTGTTCAGGAACTTTCTGTCCTTCTAAACAGAAGGAAGTTACAACTCAAGGTGTTTATACAAAATCAGATGGTAACTTCTGGAGATAGTTTCTTTTTGATGATACCCCATCTTTAGAATTTTTGCCTCCCAAAATCTCACTTGATACCAATTTCCCCCCCCCCATTATTATTTGAATTCCCCAAGCCAGAAAAATCACTTGAATTACTGATATCGAAATTAGAGTTCAATTATCACCCATCTCTCATTCACTGCTAGGGTTTTTAATAATTAGCTGCCCACTCTAGACTAATGATCAGGATACAAATATTAGTAGAGACATGAAATAAGCATCTGATGCTCTCAAGAAATTTTGTTTGACCCTTCAGAACACTTTCTGGTTTTGGTTAACCAGTTCAGGAACTTTGGATGAAGAGGAACCCCAACCAGAATTATGGTGAAGCATCGTGTGCACGTGGCTGAATGTAGATCTAGTTAACCCTGGTTTACTAGAGCTGTTTAGGAATGAAGTTCATTGGGTGCTCTCAAATGTCTCACCAGTCCAATCAACCCTATGCGGACTATGTGAATAAAAAGGTTCCCCAATCACCAATGGCAAATGTTGGCTACATAAGGAAAACTAGGCTATCAAAAGAAGTGATATCGTTATGTTATTTATTTATTGCATTTTAAACATTTCTGCACCACTTTGCATTAAAAAAAAAAAAGAACAACCTCCTATTTGGATGCTAATTTTCTGTGGGTAAAGAAAATACTTTTTCCAAGGGAGCATAACAGATTGTGCAGACTCTGCGAGCAACTGAGATAGCAGGTTTCACCTAACCAAATCCCTGTCTTTCCAACAAATCCACTTCAACGGAAGTTGGATGCCTTGAAAGAAAATAGGGTCATAAAATACTGTATTCCACGCTAGGGGGATATATAACTAATGGCTGATAATGGGTAACATTTGGCGTTCTCAGCCTGTGTCCTTTTTACAGGCTTGTAGCTTTAAAATGCAGAGTTTTTTTTAAAAAATGCATTATATAGATTTTAAATGCCAGTGTTTCAGAATCCTGTAAGTTGGCTTTCCTTCCTGCTTAGGACTGTTTTTAACAATGAAAATGTGGGCTCAACATTTCATTAAAAATACAGTCATTCCACCCATGCACCACATTTCTGCCTGATTTTATCTCTTTTAACTGGAGCATTTACTTGTCCCTTTAGCTGCCAGGAAGGAGGAGAAAGAGATAGAAAAAGGAGAAGGAGGAAGAAAGGAGGAGAAGGAGAAGGAAGGAGAAGAAAGAGAAGGAAGGAGGAAGAAAGGACAAGAAGGAGAAGGAAGAGAAGGAGAAGAAAAAGAGGGGAAGGGAGAGAAAGAAGAGGAGGAAAAGGAGAAGGAGATAGAAAAAGAGGAGGAAGAGGAGAAGGAGGAAGGAGTAGAAAGGAGGAAGGGAGGAGAAGAAGAAGGAGAAAGAAGAGGAGGAGGAAGAGAAGGAAATAGAAGAAGAGAAGAAGGAGGAGAAGGAGAAAGATGGTAGGAAGGAGTAAGGAAGGAAAAGAAGGAAGGGAGTAAGGAAGGAGGACAAACAGAAGGAAGACAAGTAGAAGGAGGGGACAGAAAAAGGAGGAGGAGGAAGAGATGAAGGAGAAAAAGAAATACTGCAAAGTCAAATTCCTTTGATAAACTGCCTTCCTAAAATCCCCCCCAGCTCTCCGTCTGCTTCCTGCCCAGTCCCACATCGCAATGGTGGTGGCTGAAACCATAAAAATTGGACTTGTCCCCTTATTGGCAGGCTGAGATTCCAGGAACAGCTGCAGTCTGAGGTAGCACTATAAACACCCAGAACTTCTGCGCAGAATGGCATTCGCTGGCAAGAGCGGGTTGCGTGGCAGGGGGCCAGGCTCTATTTTCCTCTCTGCCAGCTTCTGGGCGTGACGGTGAGGGGCGAGAGGAAAAAAGAAAGAACATAAAACTGGGTTGAAACAGACCCTCAAAATGTCCCTTTGTATTTGTGGGTAGAGAAACTGGGGTACAGATGGGAGGCAGCCCCCCCATGTCTCTAGGACAGTGTTTCTCAACCTTGGCAACTTGAAGATTTGTGGACTTCAACTCCCAGAATTCCCAAGCTGGGGAATTGGGGGAGTTGAAGTCCA